CACAAGGTGAAGTCCAAACATCAGAGTGCACAAGGTCAAAACACTTCTCATAAATAGCATTTGATTTAGGAAAAACAGTTTTGCAATGTTTACCTAAGATGCATGTTTCACAATTAGAACAATCATATGTAAAACCAGGTAAAAGCAAATTCAAAGCTCTAGAATGTGGATGGCCGAGTCTATCATGCCATAATACAACAGAAGTTTTCACATTGTTTGCAAAAGTAGGAAAAGAAACTTTATTCTTAGAGTTAAAGAGTTTAGAGAAAGATCTTCAAGCACATATAAGTCGTCCTTGGTGCTCCCTTGTCCGAACACCTTACCATTCTCAATACCCTGCAGCTTCACATCGTTAGAACTAAAGATTGCTAAACAATTTAAGTCCCTTGTAGTTTTCTTAACCGATAGTAAATTCGAAGTAAACTTAGGCTTATAGAAAGCACTAGATTTTTTATTAAACAAATTTATGCAACCTATGCCTTCTATTGGAACATTATGTCCATTTGCAACCTTAACATTCCCTAAAGCCGGTTTAATGTTCTCTAACAACTTAGGATTACTAATCATATAGTGAGAAGCTCCTGAGTCTAACACCAATGAATTGTTATCATGAGAGTTAGATGTAAAGAGAGAGATACCGCTTGGGTGAATTTTGGATGCAATGGATTGAAGAAGTGCTTTGAGATCAGTCTTGTTCATCACAATGGTTTCCTGAGTTTGAGAGGTAGAGGCAGAACCATTCTTGCTTTGTGTAATAGCTTTCATTGCCTTCTCTTGATGTAATATTGCACAATCGCCCTCTCCTCATTCTCTGACCTGCCATCACTTCCATTAGCCACATTTGCTTTTGGTTTGTAGTTCTTGAACTTTTCCGACTTAAGATGAGGGTGTAGAATCTAGCATTTCTCTTTAAGATGACCCTTCTTCTTGCAATGGTCGCAGAACCAGGTTTTCTTGTCCTCTTGCTTGACCATTCCAGCTTTGTTGGCCGTGGGAAGACTCCCTTTGCTATTGAACAAGCCTTGAGTCCCATACTCTTTCTGAATCTTTGCGCACACTTGTTCTAGAGTAGGAACCTTGTCATCTCTTAGTATGTGCTGAATCACCTCTTGTAGCTAGAGTTAAGGGTCAGCATCAAGCCAAAGACCAAGTCTTGCTCCCTACGCTCTTTGAGTGTTTTCGCTTCAGTGGTAAATGGCCTTAACATCTCGAGTTCAGCCACGAGAGACCTGTATTTTCCAAAATGAGTGTTAAAACCACTCTCCTCTTGACAAAGTTCACCAAGAGCCTTCTTAATGTGTTACACTCGGGTCAGATTTGTCTCATTCCCGAAGACATTAGCGAGAGTATCCCATAACTCTTTTGAAGTCTCACAATACGAATACCCCTCCAAGATTGAAGCATCCAGAGAACAATGTAAGGCGCTTAGGACATTCAGATCACTCTGCTTCCAAGTATCGTTATCCAAGTCTTCTTCACGTGCCTTCGCCTCATCATAGGTATTTTCTATGTATTTCGTGAGTTTCCTTCCTCCTAATACATTTGTTGTGGTCCTCTTCCACAACAGGTAATTGTTACCATTGAAAGTAACCGAAAACTTCAGATCCTTAAACGTATCACTCATTTTCTGAACCGTAAGAGTCATTTTCAACAGTCACAGAAAGCAATAATCACAAGCAGATTAAGAAGGTATCGACTTTCTTCAACAACCGTAACAGCAAAACAACCAATCCGCAACCACTACTCTATCGAAGCTTAAGTTTTGAGCCTAGTGTCGTAAGTATCTAAGAATCTGGACTTAAGGATGATAAAGATCCAACCTTTGGGTAAGAAAGTCAAAACCTTGAATAACTTCTCCTCTTTAACTCGTCTTGATGATCAACCCACATAAATCTCAGAAAGTTTGAAGCTTTAACCGAAGAGAAGAACCACCACAGATCAATCGCAACACCCTTCACAAGCTGATAACTTTTATGAAGAACCGGTAAGAAGAAATCGACCAAATCGTTTTAGAAACAAGATTTCAAAACAGAACAAAAACAGATTGAAAGGAAGATGAAAGATTTAATAATAGGAACTTGCTCTGATACCATGAAAGATTTAAGTTGGATAAGTAAGAAGAACCATGTTTGGAGAAAGAGAGAATCGTATTGATGATTAGTGTGTGTTACAAATGTGGAGAAACGCTCTGGTTTTATAGAGGACAAACTTTAGGTCTAAGGGGTATGCACAAAAGACAATCGCATCCTCTCTTAGCCTTGCTTTACCAAAGACAGCTCACACATATAGACAAAACCGTACAAGTGCTCAAGCTTTTGGTTTGGATAAGCTCGACGCCTAACGGGTCTCGCGTGTCCGTACAGTCAACTAGCCGTTCCTCCTCTTTCTCTTTTATTCAAACTGAAGCTTGCGCCCTAAGTAACTTGTGTTTAATATCTAACCATAGATTTAGTTAGTATTAAACACCTTCTTGATTAACACGAAGAGTAATAATAATTCGTAAATTTATAGTTTTAAATTTCGGTATGGTTCGGTCTGGTTCATTTTGGTTCGGGTTGATATAAACCTGATAAGTAAACCATTAAATAAATTCAATATCTTCTTCATTAGTGTCGTTTTCGTTATTCACGTTTTGATCAAAACCATGGAGCTATGATCAGACGTTCGTCTGTGTTAAACTCCACCAAGTACTTCAACTCTCACATTAACCATTTATCATCTCATGGCGATCACAAGCAAGTTCTCTCCACATTCTCTTCCATGCTCGCTAATAAACTCTTACCTGATACTTTTACTTTCCCTAGTCTTCTCAAAGCCTGTACTTCTCTTCAGCTCCTATCTTTTGGTCTCTCGATTCATCAGAAGGTTCTCGTTAATGGGTTCTCTTCTGATTCATACATCTCGTCTTCATTGGTCAATCTTTATGCGAAATTTGGACTCTTGGGTCATGCTCGGAAAGTGTTCGACGAAATGCGTGACAGAGATGTGGTACACTGGACTGCGATGATTGGGTGTTACTCACGCGCTGGAATTTTTGGAGAAGCGTGTTCGTTGGTGAAAGAGATGAGATTTCAGGGGATTAAACCGAGTCCGGTTACGTTTTTGGAAATGTTGAGTGGGATTTCGGAGATTACGCAGTTACAGTGTTTACATGCCTTTGCGTTAGTTTATGGGTTTGAGTGTGATATAGCTGTGATGAACTCTATGTTGAATCTGTATTGCAAGTGTGATCGTGTTGGAGATGCTAAGGAGTTATTTGATCAGATGGAGCAACGAGATATGGTTTCATGGAACACAATGATTTCAGGGTTTGCTTTTGTTGCTAATATGTCTGAAATATTGAAGCTTTTGTACAGAATGAGAGATGATGGTTTAAGACCTGATCAACAGACATTTGGAGCATCACTTTCAGTGAGTGGAACAATGTGTGATCTTGAAATGGGAAGAATGTTGCACTGCCAAATTGTTGGAACTGGTTTCGACGGAGACATGCATCTCAGAACGGCGTTGATAACTATGTACTTAAAATGTGGAGAGGAGGAAGCTTCATATCGAGTACTCGAAACCATTCCTGATAAGGATGTTGTTTGCTGGACAGTCATGATATCAGGACTTATGCGGTTGGGTAGAGCGGAAAAGGCACTGATTGTTTTCTCGGAAATGTTACATTCAGGATCAGACCTATCGAGTGAAGCAATAGCTAGTGTTGTAGCATCTTGTGCTCAATTGGGTTCCTTTGATCTTGGCGCTTCAGTCCATGGTTATGTACTGAGGCAAGGATATACACTAGACACTCCTGCTTTAAACTCTTTTATCACAATGTATGCAAAGTGTGGCCATTTGGATAAAAGTTTAATTCTTTTTGAACGGATGAATGAAAGAGACTTAGTTTCGTGGAATGCAATTATATCCGGACATGCCCAGCACGGAGATCTGTGTAAGGCATTGTTGTTGTTTGAAGAAATGAAGTTCAAAACCGTGCAACAAGTTGATTCATTGACAGTTGTCTCACTTTTACAAGCCTGTTCATCTGCTGGAGCTCTCCCAGTAGGGAGAATGATCCACTGTATTGTAATCAGAAGCTTCATCAGGCCATGTACCTTGGTTGATACGGCTCTGGTTGATATGTATTCGAAATGTGGCTACTTAGAAGCTGCACAGAGGTGTTTCAATTCGATCACATGGAAAGATGTTGTTTCATGGGGAACACTCATTGCAGGGTATGGTTTTCATGGTAAAGGGGATATTGCTTTGGAAATTTACTCAGAGTTTCTTCACTTTGGAATGAAGCCGAACCACGTGATTTTTCTTGCGGTTCTCTCATCTTGCAGCCATAATGGAATGGTTCAGCAAGGTTTGAAAATATTCAGTTCAATGGTTAGAGATTTTGGTGTTGAACCGAATCACGAACACCTTGCTTGTGTGGTTGATCTTCTATGTAGAGCTAAGAGAGTAGAAGATGCGTTCAAGTTCTACAAAGAGAACTTTACGAGACCTTCAATTGATGTCTTGGGTATAATACTCGATGCTAGCCATGCAAATGGGAAAACAGAGGTCGAAGATATAATTTGTCGGGATATGATCGAGTTGAAGCCAGTTGACGCTGGACATTACGTTAGACTTGGACATTCTTTTGCTGCGATGAAGAGATGGGACGATGTGAGTGAATCATGGAATCAGATGAGGTCTCTCGGCCTGAAAAAGCTCCCGGGATGGAGCAAAATCGAGATAAACGGGAAAACCACAACATTTTTCATGAATCATACATCACATTCAGATGAAACAGTGTCTCTGTTAAAACTTCTTAGCAGGGAAATGATGCAGTTTGGTTCAAAGAATCTATGTGATCATTCTAATAATGTAACCATGGCTCAAGTGTCAAACATAATTATAACATAAATTATATAATTGCTTTACTAAAAATAGGATCTAGTAATGCGTGAAGTTTGGAAGGGATCCAATACTTGGGGGAGATTTCAAGGAGAACAGTTACTGAGAATCTTCTAAGATTCAAACAAAAGAGAAGACACCATTAATTTGCAGAAAGAAAGTAATAAAGAGAGAGATGACCAGAAGGCAGAAGAAGACGGCGAAGGTGGTAACAGTGGTAATGGGATTGTGTATTGTCGCCTACATTGCAGGACCATCTCTGTATTGGCATCTCAACGAGACCATTGCAGATTCTCTCCACTCCTCTTGCCCACCTTGTGTATGTGACTGTTCTTCTCAGCCTCTCCTCTCCATCCCCGACGGTAATCATCATTATTGTTGTCATTCCTTTCTTCTTTCCTTGGTCACAAAACCCAACTTTTGATGCGTTTGATTCAATGTTTCTTCTGCAGGATTAAGCAATCACAGTTTCTTGGGTGAGTATTTTTCTGGCAATAACTTTTTATATATTTAGTAAGAATGCTAAAATGTTGCTGATTTCATGCGCATTTTTGTTGGTTCTTGTTTCATTGCCAAGATTGCATGAGGCACGAGGAAGGGAGTGAAGAGAACGAGAGTAGTTTCACTGAAATGGTAGCTGAAGAGCTGAAGCTAAGAGAAGCACAAGCTCAAGAAGACGAATGGCGTGCAGATAGGTTGCTGCTAGATGCTAAGAAAGCGGCGTCTCAGTATCAGAAAGAGGCTGATAAATGCAGTATGGGGATGGAAACATGTGAGCTAGCAAGAGAGAAAGCAGAGGCAACTCTAGATGAACAGAGAAGACTATCTTACATGTGGGAGCTTCGAGCTCGGCAAAGAGGATGGAAAGAAGGAACTGTTGCTTCTGATGTTATCTAAGAACAGATCTTTTGCTAGAAGAATCTTTTTCTATATAATGGAAACTGTTCAATAGAGAATTTGAGTTAACGCCCCTTGAGTTAACCCAAGATAAATTTTGTTCATTTGACAGGTTCTGTAATTGTTTTTTTTTCTTTCTAAATCCTACTTTGTAGCGACCTTGACATTAGTCCGGTCTAGGATAACGTTGAGGATCTTCCCAGGCACATAGATTCGCTTCTTGATAGATTGTCCATCTAGATATTTCCTGAGTTTCTCGTCCTGTGAAGCTAGAACAAAAGCATCATCTTCAGAACATCCTTCTTCAACCTCTATGGTGCCTCTTGTTTTGCCGTTTATCTGAACTGGAAGAACAATAGTTGTGTTCTTTAAGTAATCCGGGTTTGCCTGGATAAAGACCAAAAATAATCAGTACAACAAAACACTTTCCTCTGTTGTGTTTATATGTTCAGTTTACTATCTCTACCTTAGGGAAGCTTTCATAGGCCAGAGAATTCGGATGGCCTAACCGCGACCAAAGCTCTTCAGCCATGTGAGGCGCATAAGGTGAGAGCAAAAGAACAAAAGGCTCAATGATTCTTCTAGGTTGATTATTCCACTGTCAAAGTAAGAAGAAATCAGAGAAACAATCAGTACTTGTAAAGTGAAAAGGCAAAGCTGACTGATATAAGAGCCTAAGATTAACCTTATATGCTGCATTAACCAACTCCATCATCCCTGAAATTCCCGTGTTGAATCGTGTACTCTCAATTTCCTCTGTCACCTGCAAATTTTACATCTCGATCTTAAGTAAGATGTATCCAAACCGCAAAGGGATCATTTTGGGGAATGAGATGACCTTAGCTATGCATTTATGAAGAGTTCGGAGCTGTTCAAGGGTTGGTTCATCATCAGTCACTATGGTTCCATCTTTGAAAGAACCGTCGGATTGAGGCAAACCGATGACTAGTCTCCATGTTCTTGCCAAGAAACGATGCACACCTTCAATCCCACTCGTGTTCCAAGTTTTTGAGTCCCTAGTAGAAGGAAATGCAGGCAGATATAAACACTGAGAAAGTGAGAAAACCCGAAAAAATGAATCTGGGATTGGGATTGAGATTTACCTAAATGGTCCCATGAACATCTCATACAAACGCAGAGAATCTGCACCATGCTCTAACACAACATCATCAGGATTTACGACATTTCCTCTACTTTTGCTCATTTTATAAACGCGTGGAATCAAACGAATGCTAGGATCTTCCTTCAGAACAAAATGATCTCCGGACTTCATAACCTAGACCATTAAAAATCATAAGGTTAAATGACACTGGAGAGCATATCAGTTTTAGTGAATGAGAAAGAAGATTCATACTTTTTCTTCCGGGATAGTCACTTGCTGATGTTCATTTAACCGTTCTTCAGTATCTGCAGATACATAAATTCCTTCTTGATCTTTCCAAGCTGTATATTGGACCTGCAAAAGTAACACTATTAAGAAGAAAATATTCAACGAAATTGTCAATTTGAAAAAGGCGGTGAGAAAGACCGACTTACTTCCCCAAGGATGATTCCTTGATTTATGACACATTTGAATGGTTCTTTCGTAGAGACAACACCAATGTCATAAAGTACCTGGAATGATGCAGTAACAAAATTTGTAGTTAGATCACAATATAGCTTAAAAAAGGGGAGGTTTCAAAGGATACACACCTTGTGCCAAAACCTCGAGTATAGTAAATGTAAAACAGCATGTTCAGCACCACCAACATATACATCTACTGGGCTCCAGTATCTGCCACACGAAAAAAAAACTTAAAGATCTGGCCAAAAGCAACAAATTGTACTTCAATGGCAGGTAAATGATTGCATTCTGAAATGCTCTCACTTTTCTTTTTCCTTGTCAACTAATGCTTCAGGGTTTTTCGGGTCCATGAATCTCAGATAGTACCTGAAAAATCATGTAATTTTCTTTAGTTTCTCAGTATTAAAATCAACATCCGTCAACAACACACCAGGTACTATATTCAACAAGGTTCTAGATCGACTTCGGCCTAGCCTATCGAAGTATCACTAAATGAGAGTATCAAGGATTCTCAAATGGGAGATAAATTTTGTGTAACGAGGAGATTATATACAAGAACCAAGAAGGGTAAATAGTTTAAAGATAAACATCTACCAGCAAGACCCAGCCCATTGTGGCATAGTGCTTGTTTCTCTTTTGGCAGGTTTTCCTGTTGAGGGATCTACGGTGTTCACCTGCAAAGTCATCGATCATAACCAAAATGTCCATGGCATACCCAAAAACTAATCCTATTAACCGCAAAACATACCCATGAAACTGCTTTTGACAGTGGTGGTTCCCCGGTTCCAGTGGGCGTAAAATCATTTAACTCAGGCAAAGTGAGTGGCAGTTCAGATTCTGAAACAGCAATAGTTTCACCAGACTCATCCAAAATTAAAATCGGGATAGGTTCACCCCAGTAACGCTGCCGTGCAAATAGCCAATCCCTCAACTTGTAATTTACCTGCCAAAAGCCTTTTGAGTAAGAAACAAGAACAACACTTTTTACATAATCCAAATGAGAAAGACATGAAGATGAACCTTTTTCTTTCCATTGCCGGTTCTCTCAGACCATTCAATAACTTTTAAACCAGCTTCTTTGCTAGATAGTTGATTTATGTCAAGTCCTGTCTCTGAACTTGATGAATTTTCAATTATGCCCAATCCAGGATAAACCTGCTTGGCATCATCACTTAAATTTGCCTCATTTTTCACTACCCACTTGACCGGGATGTTATACTTCAACGCGAACTCATTGTCCCGAGTATCATGAGCTGGGACTGCCATGATTGCTCCAGTTCCATAACTGTCACATATAACAACGTTCTCTGTTTCACACAAATTCAGTTCAAAGCAATATAAATAGTTAGACTGAACTGACCTTGCTAGAACATAGTCAGCTACCCATATGGGAATAGCATCACCATTAGCTGGATTTTTCGCATAACATCCAGTGAATACGCCCGTCTTGTCCTTCTGAAGTTCTGTTCTCTCAAGATCACTTTTTCTCGAAGCGAAATCTTTGTATTCCTCAACCTGTAACCATAAGAGAGGACTCATGCAAATCAGAAAGGCAAGTTGAATAATCGAAAGAAGAAAAAACTCTTACTTGCTGTTTCTGTTCTGCGGTTACAAAGTACGACAACAAATGATGCTCTGGTGCCACAACCATGTAACTGCGAATGGGAGAACAGATCATATTAAGACAATCAAGATCAAGATTTCAGATGTTAAATCATAAATATAATTAATCCTTTAAGCATACGTTGCTCCAAAAAGTGTATCTGGCCTCGTGGTGTAAACTGTAATCTTTTTGTCGGTTTCTCGGCCTTCGCCATCAAGAATTGAAAAGTTCAATTCAGCTCCTTCGGATCTTCCTATCCAGTTTCTTTGCATTTCCTTTATACTTTCAGGCCACTCAAGTTCGTCTAAATCTTCCAGAAGACGATCAGCGTACGCAGTAATCTTCAGCATCCATTGCCTCATCGGCTGCTTGGTAATAAACAATGTCACTGTAAAATTCATGAGAATTTTCAAAACAGAGGAATACAGATTTCGAAAGGGGGAAAACGATATAATATTCCCATATGGTAATAGATAGTACCTTTCTTATAACCGGGTGGCCACCACGCTCACTAACACCATCCACCACTTCCTCATTGGCCAAAACAGTACCAAGAGCTGGGCACCAATTGACGGGTACTTCAGCCTGAATTTACAATCTTTCAAAGAACTTTTCTATACACAAATGCACGGTTTTAACTTTTGAACCAGAAAATGATTTTGACCTGATATGCCAAACCTCTCTTATAAAGCTGAAGAAAGATCCATTGTGTCCATTTATAATAGTCTGGCTCTGTTGTAGAAAGCTCACGGTCCCAATCGTATGAGAAGCCCAGTGATTTGAGCTGCAAACAAACAAAAAGAAGCACATTCATAAAGGTCCTCGGATCTTTACTCCAGTGGTAGACCTAAGCAAACAGTCCGAAGCAGCAATACTACATCTAAACATTATTAAAGACCCTTTTGCATAATCTTCAAGGATCAGTAATCCGAAAAATTGAAGATGATCAAGATTAGAGATAGACTGCAAACAAGCATAAAATTTTCACAACACAACTGGTATCAGAACTTTGAAATTTCATCATTCATGGAAAAAGATGAACATTTAAGAAAACTGAATTTTCTAGGCTAGTGCTAAACTGAAACAAATACATCACCTGTAAACGAAAGCGGTCAATGTTCTTCAATGTCGTAGTTTTCGGATGGGTTCCTGTCTGCAACGCAGATTACAAATACTCATAAGGACACCAAATTTTATGAACAAAAGCATCCATAATGACTTGAGAAAAAAGAAAATGGACCTCAATAGCATATTGTTCTGCAGGCAATCCAAAAGCATCCCATCCCATAGGATGCAAAACATTATAACCTTGCATTCGCCTAAGCCTCGCTAAAATATCAGTTGCTGTATAACCCAATGGATGTCCCACATGTAATCCTGCTCCACTGAAGAACAAACCACAACACACAAAAATTTCATCTTTTTCACAAAACCCAAATCCTTAAACCTATCATCAATACAAAATCCAAGAATGCTACTAAAATTTCTGGAAACTTATGAAAAACCACAACTTTATGCTGAAGTAGCTTCTCAATTAGTCAAAGTTGTGAACTTTCTACATAATCAACTTAAAAAAAGAAGAGACCTTGGATATGGAAACATGTCGAGGACGTAGAACTTAGGTTTCGAAGTATCGACATCGTCTGGTGTCCGAAAAGTTCGGTTATCTTCCCAATAACGCTGCCACTTGGGCTCAATTTCGTGAAATGGATAGACCCTTTTCAATTCAATCGTCGTCGTCGCTGTTTCCGACACCAAAGCTTCTTCTTTTCGGTTCCCATTGTTACTCTGAGCCTCCGTCGTTGAGCTCCTGACTCCGCCGTGATTAGAGCGACGCCACCGGAAACGAAGACCGGAAAAAGGCTGCTTTAGAGGAGATTGAAGCGTTAGAGAGCTGGTGAGGTGTGTATGGCGGCAACAGTGTGACAGCACAAATGGGTCAGAGCGAAATTGGAGGATTTGATGAGAGCTCATTCTGGTTTTTTTTTGCCGGAGACGATGAATGTTTCAGTGGATAATTGGAGATAAGTGTGTGCTCTTTTGAACCTTGAAAATTGAGATCAGTTGGAAATAAAATTAACGAAACGACGTCGTTTTCGTCAACAGAACTTTTTTTTTTAACAGTTATCATTTGGTCTAACGGCTAAAAATATTTTTTGAGTTGAGCAAGAATAATATCACATTGATATGAAGAGAAAGACATGGTTATGTCATCATGGAGATTGTCCCTTCCAATAACTATCTGTAAACATAATTAGACAACGTTACTGATCGAAAGGTCCCAAAAAAGATAGGAGGGTTTAGCACGATGTAATCCTCAAAATGAGATTGGAGCTCTGCGAGAGGTAAATGTGGTTACGTTGGATGGTGGATTTGATTCAAACCAAAGATTTTGATAAGAATAATTGGAAGAAGAGTTTGTTTTTCAACGTAAAGTTGAAGCACCTATTATAGCGTAGGTGAGAGCATATGGTCGATTTAGCTTATGTGTGTGATCAATCTCTTGATAGATTCGCTCTTTTGATGTTCGTCCTCACATCTTCCTTTGCTTCCAAGTGAATATGTATCTATAGAAAAATAACATGTTTTGGTTGTGTGACCAGATTTTTTAATGGTTGGATCAAATTGCCATAATCGTAAAATTTTAGGAGATCGATTGTATTGTGTTTTGTTGAATTTGACACATTGCTTTGGTTTTGGTTTGGGTGAAAGATATCACATTTGAGACCATCTCCAATGTATTTCCCTATTTTTATCTCTATCTCTATAATAGAGGTAAGTTTTCTCTATTTTTACTCCAATGTATTCCTCTATTTTTTCCTCTAAAAAGTTTAACTCTATTTATAGAGGAAATAATAGAGATTCTCTATTCTCACCTCTATATATAGAGAAAAAAAAAGAGATCTCTATTTTAGAGGTGAGAATAGAGGTGGGTTGGAGTAAATTTGCCTCTAAAATAGAGTTTAGATGCAAATATAGAGGTGGATTGGAGATGCTCTGAGAATGTATGATTTGCGCTATCAAAACAGATATGACTTTTTGTACGAATGCATTTAATGTTTGGTCGGCTTTAAATAATCCAAAATGTATATCACTTAAGAACAAACTCAAGGCCCAAACTAGAGAAAAAATAAACCTTGCTTTAGATTATAGTAGAACGTTCCATATTCCCACCAAACTCAGCAAGTTACGAAGTTGGAATTTATAGATTCATTGACTCTCTTTAATATCTATGCACTGTCTTAAATGATTTTACAGATTTACGAGAAGAGTTCACAGCCCATTGGCATTGCTTGATTCACAATTCACCCTCTATAAATTAGCCTCAATACTTCATTTTCTTTGCATTATTCACAGTTCATTTTTTACAAATTAGCCTTGATACTTCATCTTTTGTCTACCTTTTTTGAAATACATCTATCGTAGTTTCCGCAAAAATGACTTGGGTAACATTTCTCTACGCCATTCGGTTCGGAGTTGAGATTGCAACTATTGTGCAAAAAGTAATTGCGTTATTTTTTTCTTAGGATCTCAACGATGTGAAATCATTACATCTATAAATAAGATTCAATATCTTATTTTTAACATGGCTTTGTATAAACATTGTTATGTTGTCGATATATATACTGTTTTTAAATCAGTAATTACGGTTTTTTAATCGTTAGGATATCGACGAGGTATAAATCATGTACCTCTTTTTTTATGTTTTGACGAATTATCTCTATTATTAGATAAAAGAAAGATTTCATGTTTTGTAATGTAGCTTTCTTTAAGTTCTATATAATTTCTGTTGAATACAAAATTATGCAATTGTTGTTTTATTATTATTGTTTATATCTTTTGTTTACTTCTACAAACTCTTCGTATATTTTGTTTGGAAAGATTGACATGTGGGAATTAAAAACAAATCGAATGTTTGAAAAAACACCGGTCTAAATGGTAACCGAGGAATCTGGCTGAATCCGGCTGAATTGCGGAATCTGGCTGAAGTTTTAGTGATTTTTAGCTGAATCTAGCTGAATTTTTACATTTCTAAATGGTAACTGCTGAATCTAACTGATTTTTTTTTGTGATTTTTGGTAAAATCTGTCAAAATAATTAAGACTTAAATTGAAAAATATCGTCAAATAATTATGAATCTTAATCAGTAGAATAACTAAGAAATATCTAAATAAAATAGATAAAATTATCTAATTGTCTAAGTAACTCTTATATTAATAAATAAGTACTAAAATTATCTAAAACTAATAATAATATAAATAATATATTGGTTAGCAAAATTGGATTATTTTATCATATTTAATTTTTGAACTGTTAAAAATATATAAATAATTAATGAAATTTTTGTCAAAACATTATTGAAAAATTAATATCAAAAATTAACATGATAATATGACGAAAATGATTAATAGAATTATCAAAACTTTGATATTTTAAAAAATATTTTAGCATATGTATGAGTTGTTTTTTGCGAATTTTAAAAATTTATTTTAGATTAGTTTAAAGTTATTAAAATTATCCAAAAATATCTATAATTATTCGAACATAAATTCATCTCTTGTCTATTCTGGTAGTAATTTTATGTGTCTGAATGATACAATATCGTATTTGTATCTGTATAGTATGACTTATTTTAAAATATAAATTTGATTTGTAATTTCTCATATCCAAAATATTTTAATTCGAGTTGTGTATTCTTTATTATATGAATTTTTACCAGAAATAAACATATCTACATATCTGTTAGTTTTGAAAAAATTGCTGAATTTGGCTGAATTGAACTGAATTTAGTTTTATGCAAATGGTGACTAGGAAATTGCTGAATCTGGCTGAATTCAGCTGAATATATTTTTGATGTTACCATTTAGTGCTCCAGTAATAATTATATTATTCTAATAAAGACCCCGAAACTTTAATACTTCAACAATAAAAACCCATCAACGTCTCTAAGCAAAAAACACAAACCTCTCTATATACATATGAGAAGTACATACATACATGAACTATATTCATACTTAAGTTGTATGCAGATACTTTTACTGAAGCTGTTAAACTAGACTTCTTTACCGTTAATAACGGCCAAAGATGGAGAAGATTCACCGCTGATTCGGCTTGGCGCGGGAGTGTTCCTCCGCGATTGGCGTTTTGTTGGCACTATGATGACTTCATTCTCCAATTTTCCAATCATGTCACCGTCGTCGTCATCACCGCCTTTGAAAACAGGATGAATATAAGCGTCTTGCAAGTAACCTTTCAGGTTCAGATTTGGCTCTCTTGCTCTTTCCAATGTATCTTTCATCATAGCTTCCTGTAAAATAATCAACATTTTGCCATCTCCGGGCTCGTAAAACCGATGAGGAATCGCAATATATATTACAAAGATTATAATGGTAGGAGTAATAGTGTGTCCAATCCGGTTGAACTGATCCAAACATTGACAAAAATCGAACTAAACTGAAAAATATAAATCTACGTAGCTGTGAATTTTACAGATATGTAGAAGAAACTGACCTGTAAGGGGTATCGGATAAAGGCGGGTTCATAACGGCCTTTACAGAAGCGGTGGAAACCGATAGTAATAACGGGAAGAGCGATGAGAAACGGTGCAGCAAAAGCGGCATGTTTTGTACCCAACAAACCCATCAGAAGCAACTGAGATATGATCAATGCCGTTATAACCCGTCCATGAACATCTGGCCAAAACGCAGCAGCGCTCTCATACTCTTGATTATACACATTTATGATCTGATAATAAGAAAAAAACAAAAAAAAAGTTCAAGTTTGAAGATCTGTGTATAATCTCTTCAAACTAGCCAGTTTGATCAAATTTAGGCGAGGAAGAAACTACATTTACCTGATGGCGATATACGACGTAAGCAAGCGCAAAGAAGATTAAGATAAAAGGAAGAAGCATTGGTGTCACGGGAGCATAGACAAGACCGAGAAGGAAGTAAAGCTGTATCTGAGGCTCTCCAGTGTTGAAACCGATGCTTCCCGGGTTCATTGCTTCCTCTCTGTCTTTCTCTGTTTTCACCAAGAGTGCGTTTTTGAGGTGGTATATAATGAGAGGTTTTAACATAAGAATCTCTCCTGCAACTCCTGCCCAACCATCAACCATTATATATGTGATAAAGAAGGTTGCTTTCATCGGTATCGCCATGCCAATTGTCTTAGGGATTCTGCACAGATTGAAAAAGAAGAGTCCTTAGAAAAGCCCATCACCCAGAAAGAACGAAAAAAACAGATATAGAGAGTCGCATACTGATTAGGCGACTGATTGAGGAAAGAGTTAAGCTGCTCAAACGCAGCTCCAGCGATAACATTTCCAAGAAAGACGTTTACTAAGTTAAAGATGTAATATCTAGACGCGGATCGTCTTTCTAAGGATGAAACTGAAGTAAAGCCTTCAAATTTGGACATGGTCATCAGTATGCCTGGCAGAAAGATGAGGAAAAGCTTCAGCACAATACCGGCTAGCAGACCTTGTATCAGCGATTTTACGAATTTACTGCGAATAAAAAGGATAATCAATCAGGTCCACTGTCATGAAGAATGGAACAATGTCAGAAAAGAAGAGAACTCACTCTTCGATAATGACTTTCAAGAACGGCGCAACTTTCTCAATTCCCTCAACGGTAGCAAGAGATTGTACAAACGCGATAGGGATGATAAAAAAGAAGGTAAGGAAGAAGAAGGCTACATTCATAACCAAATTTCTTACAGTCAAAGAAACATATGGAATCGCAAGGTTTGGCCAATACACATCACACGGCTCTGCAGCCCATTCGGTTAGCCATTCGGTTGGGTTTCGGGTCTGTGTGGTCTGAGCGCAAACAGCAGCAGCCCAACGGGTTTTGAAGGAGACAAAAGACGCTGGCATGATTGACTTTTGATCATTCACCACATTCTCCCTCTCTTCAGCAATCTTCAAACAGTGAAGATTTTGAACCAAAAAGGAACATTAGGCATAAGAT